GACCATCTGTGTTTACGCGAATCTTCTGACTTCTACTCGAATCACGACGAAGTTGTCCTTTTTGTTGCAGATAACCGCATACAGCAAAGTTCCGACTCAATGTCCAACTTCACGGAACATTGTTTTCTGTTGACTTGACATCTCCCGGTGTGGCACTTATGTAGAGTCTTAGCATGTTCGTTTCCACATCACGCAACAGGCCCACTTTACATACCAGAACAGGAACAGTTCATAAACCAATGTTCACATAAACTCAGGAATTGAAGCAAAAGCACAGGACCCTGCCTCACTTGTGCAAACCAAAACGAAATGGGAAAAAAGGAAGCACATGGCTAAGGTGTGACTGCCTTTTATACCCATACCCAGGTGTACATAATCGCATAGTTAAATTCAGCCAATCATGGTTTGCCACTAGCCACACTTTGGATAATGGCGCATCCATTTTAAATACGAGGGTGGCCCACTCTCCTACACTGTGATAGCACCACCATTGTTATGCAAATATACATGACTGCACTGTGTACCACTATATAGATATATACAAAAAAAAGACAACTAAAGATTGACCTTGTGACAGCGATAAAAAGGACAATGTGGTACACTCAAAAGGCCTGACGGCATTTGTTAATGTACAAGTGATCTAAAACATGCCTTTGTTAAAACAGAGAAGATTGAAGAGCATGAGTATAATGCTCTAAGGGCGAGAAGGTAAAGTTACCATGGTGACAATTCTTATTAATGAAAGAAATATGTTAACTGATGATCCCAGTACCAGTCCAGTTGTGAGAAGCAAACTGAAAGAATGTGTGTGAACTCAAAAAAGATTTACTGTAGCTGATAACAATTACCAGGATTCATAGACAGAGGTCAAAATCAGCAAGACTTTAGTGAGTGGATCATGCTATGCATGACTACACTTGATGAGTTTATAAATCAAATTGATGTTTGGTTAATAGAAAATGGTGTACAGGACACAACACTACCTGAAGCTATACTTTGATTAAGTGTTGGCGTGTCAGACACTGGCAGCAGACTTGAAAAAAGTCATCAATGTCAATCACGTGCCCCAACAGCCATTGAAAAGGCAGGGCTTTTGGCGTGAAGCAAGTGCTAGAGGAACGGAAGATGCAAATACAAGTAAAACAGAAAAAAGTTGCAAATGCAGCAAATGGAAGGACAATTTAAAATATAAACTTGTGCTGGACGAAATCCGTAAACAGTAGCAAATAATAGCCTTTAAAACCAAATCCGCTGAAAAGATGCAAAATAGTAACTGTAGTATACTAGTAGTATGAATCCTTGACAGATGATCAGTCAAAACCTGTTTTTATGGTTGCATAAAATAGTTTGTTCGTTTTATGGCGTAGTAAATCATCACAAAAACTTGCATATGTTAGTATAGTATACAAACTGCCATGGAGAATGAGAGAAAGGTGGCATACAAAAACATACAACAAACTACGAAACAGACCCGTACGATTTCAAGACTTGGTGAATTTTGTGGATAGGGAGGTCAAAGTAATGAGTCAGTCAGTTATTTGGTAAGCTGAATGAACATTTCACTTTCCATTACAGCATATACAGAAAATACTCGTGAGTTACCAAACTGTAAATGATTTGGTGCCAAGATATATTCAAATACTTTTTTGTTCACATTGGACCAGGGGCAGGCAGCAGAAGCGTTATATAAGGGAAATAGAATCCTGCTACTGAGACAAATATTCGCACACTTTTTGTTTGTCATTTCAGGTTGCTATCGCTCATTAAATTAGTATTTAAAAGAGGAAAATGATGTCACAAGGATACCACAAAGTATTCACTCAGGCAATATGGGAACACATCGCTGTACTTCCTTTATGCATATTTGTGCAGTACAAAACATTTTTTGTAGTCATTTTGGTTGTTTTAAAAGGAGAAAAAGATGTCATGAGAATACCGCAATGTATACAGTCAGGCAGTATGGCATTGCATCAACATACTGCCTTGATGTATACTTGCACTATTCTCATGTTTAACCTTATATGACACTTACTTTTCGCCACTTCTAATGTTTTCTTCAACACACTCTGCATTGTTGCTATAGTTTTCTCACACGCTAACTGAAAAAAAAGAAGAAAGAATATCAAGGTCAGGGTAACCTACCATTAAAATTAAAGGGCCATCATAGTGATATTACCGGTAGTCTGTTGGTTTTTGCCAATTTTTATCACATTTTTGTAATCCCTATGAACATGTCTCAAGTAGTAAGCATGATATTAGGTAAGTAATATGGAATGAATAATAATAATAACAGCATTCATAAATGAGTTTTTCCTCTTACATTGTATTCTATTGTAATTCGACATCCATATGACTTTTTTTAACATTTATGGGTTCTGTATTTGCGCTACTAGTAGTGCATGTGCTTACGTAAATTACAGAGGTGTATCGATGGTCAAAATAATTTTAATGATTCACTATATAACAAATGTGCATATCAGCAAATCACTTCAATCGGAGATGCACTTTTAGAGCAAATCCAATACTTTGCATACAATTAGAAACAATTCCAATGTTCAATTTGCTTGAATATTTAATGCAAAATCTTTTCTATCAATTATTGTTTTATTTAGTTATTTGTTTAATTCTGTAACTCATTAAATTAATTCCAAAAACTTACTGCTAAATTATCAGGATGTGTATGGCTCCACACAAGCAGCAGCGCAGTAAATAAATCACCCGTACCGGTGAAATGAGCATCAAATTTATGCATTGTTAGACGCAGTCTTTTATTTTTCTCACCTATGATAAATAGAAAGAAAACAAAAAAAACATAAACTGTATGAGACAACATTATCACTGAAAAAAGAATAATATGAGGTTATCGTAAAAAACGTATACTCGAGGGTAGTACAGCTATCTTATTGACCAATGCGTCTAATTTAAATGTTTGAATGTCAAATTCATAACTTTGAACGCAACTATGTTTGTGACAGAGATTTTACCCTATATACCGGGCAATTCAAAGTGCTGATACGATGAGGTTATTACGAGGATACTGCAAAGTATGCACTAAGATTGTACAGTGGGAGTAACGAGCGACGCACAGCGGAGGTCGATGCGACAGCGTACTGTCTGAGTGCATACTTTGGTATCTTCGTAATAACCTTATTATTATACATCTTTTCCTACCAAGGATACATCATGGGAATGCCGAAATCCAAAAAGCTTAGAAAAGAATCAGAGAACTTCTTCGTATGGAGTCCGGTCAAATCCTGGTGGCAGCCATGTCTGTTTTTCTTATTAGAGGACGCTTAGGCGCGTAATCATTCCATATTTGGAATTCACATTTCCTAATACGGTAGGATGAAAATACCCCGTAAAATATCGCAAAATTACCGCATGCTGTAACTTATGGCGTTACGATGACAGATGTATAATAATAATGTATACCGGTAAATATTTTTAACTTAAAAGATGATCATAGAACATTGTCATCAGGAAGTGCACAGTTAGGCAGAGATAATAACATACATGAAGTTTTTTTGTCTCAGCTTTATTACACATTCTTATATATATGTTATATACTATAGACACAACAAACCCATTTCGGTAATTTTTATAAATATTTATGAATTCAAACTGAAACAAAAGGTTTCTATTAGTGATGGAATAACAGTGGAACAATATTTAATGACATCAATGCACACGAACCTTTTTAATTGCAAGGTTGGATTCAACTGCCGATGAAATTTTCAAATATTTATCAAAATAAAAGGAATAGGTTTGTTGTGTCAATAGTATAAATTTTGATATATATATATTTTCTAATATACCGATGCAGCAGGACAGTATATTCTGTATTTGTACATTCCATTCTCACTGACAAGTAAATCTATGAAATCAATGGGAGCTGTGAAAACTGGTGAACTGGCCATGTTAAACAAGAGAACTTTAATAAAAGTTTACCGGTGGCGAGCTGACAGACATGAACTATTGATCTATTATTGCAGTTAAACTTGCATCTTTGCCTAACTCTGAGTTGCCTAACTATATATCATCATCTGACTATTCCTCCATGTAATGAGATCACATTTGCCTAACTTTGCACATCAGCTGCCAAACATCATTTTCACCTACATAGTGTCTGCCTAACTGTGTAAAAATATATATATTTATGGTTTTCCCTACAATGTCATATATTCACATTTTTGTCAATCAGCATGTAAATGTTTAATAACAAATTTCGCTCACTGATCGGTGCTACCTTTAGATCTGCTTTGACAACAGTGACTGTATCGTTAATTTGTTTTATTAACAGGGACACACACTTGAATATTTAATGACAACAGCAGCGAACAACGCCATTATATAACTTTGGGTGCTAGTACTAGCTTTTAGCAGCCAGTCACAGTGCATGTATATGCACACGACACGTGAACAAATACGACGACCTATAGAGGTTTATCGTATCTCTGTAACCTTGCTCAGGCATTGCAAGTACATTAATCTCTGCCTAACTGTGTATGTATTTATTGCTCTCCCTACCTGTCAATGAACTGCCTAACAACACAAGTGTATCATCTTTGCCTAACTCTGTACTGCTTATGACAATGTTTTTACAACCACTGCAATGCATGAGCTCCATCGCTTTAAACGCATCCTCTTCAGTTTTGATGGTTATACCAGTTAATTCCCTGCAGAAAAAAACAACAACATTTTATTTGAAGGATTTAAAAAATTAAACAAGAAGTCGAAAATATCACTTTTTACCAAAAATTACAAAAATATTCACCAAAATTAGAAAATTGAAGATATCACCATGAAATGAACAAATCTGAGAGATGTCCACCTGACGTACCTATATGTATAATATCAAAGCAATTGGACTTGCGGTTTTCAACAAGAAGTCAAAAATTCCACTTTTTACCAAAAATGACAAAAATATTCACCAAAATTAGAAAATTGAAGATATCACTATGAAATGAACAAATCTGAGAGACGTCCACCTAAGGTACCTTTATGTATAATATCAAAGCAATTGGACTTGCAGCTTTCAAAAAGTAGTCGAAAATATTACTTTTTACCAAAAATTACAAAAATATTTCCCAAAATTTGAGAATTAAAGATATCATCATGAAATGAACAAATTTAAGAGAGGCCTACCGAAGGTACATATTCACCAAGTATCAAAGCATTCAGGCTTGTAGTTTTCAAGAAGAAGTTGAAAAAGTAAAACATTGACACGAACGATGACGACGACGGACAATCACTCATATGATAAGCTCCGTTTGACAAAGTCGACAGAGGATGTACAGTCACCTTGCCATACAAATTCAAACCACAATGTTGTAGGGATCCTATATTACAGTGGGTGACGAATTAAACTGATCAGACAAACTGCTACATCTATCTTCCTAACAATCTTCCTAGCAACATTACAGTATTATTAAACCATTGGAACATTGCCAGAGTGTTTATTTTCACTTTGGCAAGCCAAACATTCTTGGAAAACAAATCATTTTTTATGATAGATATGTACCGTATATTAAACTAGAATGCAGAGAAAGTGAGTGGATGAAATGTAATCTCAAAAGGGATTTGGATTGGAAATGAAATTAAGATTGTGTAGAAAAGAGTCCTGTGAAATATAAAAATGATGAATTATTAAATTTATAGCAACTAAAATTAACTGCTGATAATTGTGACAAATGATGATGGTTTAGCCACAAACTTGTAAGGAAATGAAAAAAAAAAACATTTCAAAATCCGAAAAAGCGTTTGTAATCATTACAGATTTTTACTAAAAACATGACTGACATAACCATAATTACAGAAAACGAATTAAATGTGAACATTTTCAACCTCAATTGCACCATCCCAAGAAAATTGATTGACCTAACACAGTATTTGGGAAATAATTTTAAGACTTATAAATTCTAAATTTGTCTTTCTTTATTTAACTTTTTGGTTACTCATTAGTTTGTCCAAATCAAATGTCTACATGCATAATTAGGCATATTATGTAAATAAAGGTAAGATTATTGAAAACAAATGTTATTTATTATAATTCTACCACAAAATAAGGAGTCATCCAGCGAAGAAAAGTACAAGTAAGTAAGAAAAGTTTCACTGATAGGCAGTAATGATTAGAAACAGAATTAGCTGGGTGTCGACTAAAATAAATTTCTCGCTTTCTCTATGCACCGGAAGACTGTGAAAAATTAGTAAGCTAGGAAGACATTCCACACAGTTTGCTCTAAGTACACACTCATTCAATACAATCCAAATTATTAAATAAACAGGATACCGCCGTACCATATTTAATATTTCAGAAACACATACATGTACACGGTTTTACTTACTCTGCTTCAAACTGGTTAGGCGTGATAAGGTCAGCAAGCGGTAACAACTTCTCCCTGTATATTGGCGTCAATTCTTTTGGCACATAGTAACCAACGCCAAAGTCACCGAGTACTGGGTCACATACAAACAGCATATTTGGATTTCTGGCTTTTAGTTCTTTTATGACATTGACGACTTCTAATAAAAATGATTCTGAACCGACAAAACCTGTGAGTAAGAACAATACAAGATTGTGTAATGCGAGACATCTAAAATGGGAGACAAAGTTGAAATGACAAATTAATTACAAATGAAAGACCCAGATGGGATTTCAGAATTTTAAATTAGTGGATTTGGTGTAAATAACATGCATCTATAGAATATGCAAGGTCATTATCCAAATTTTGAATGGAATGGAATTCACAATAGTGCAGAGAACGTGAAATAGAGAAATGATCACGAGAAAACAAACTACTTGTATTCAATGCAAAGTTTGAGGCATCTATTTGGAATCAAATCACAATACAATCTGACGTGCATCAGTAACCAATCATGTGCGATGTTCATACTACTGTAAGTTTAGATAAAATTGGCCAGTGTCCAGCAATTAGCTAAATTTCATGAAAATTAGAAAATAAGTAAACTGTAGAAAACAGTCAACCAATTATATCTTCAGATCAATTTTGAACTAAATTTGTTTAAGAGAGCATGTTTGTACATATACGCTACAATACAATTGAATATAGTGAATCTATTTCCACAAAACTTTAGTTTTGTGTGTCCCTCAAATACTCAGTTTGATATTTTCTTTTAATGTTGGTTTAACCCAACTAGGTCAAATCTTGGTTGCGTTTAAAAGTGCCTGAGCATTTCTCTATTTAATAAACAAATCATTTTTCACGCTGAGGTAACTTGCATGTGTAACAAAAATGGCGGAAGATTTCCCATTTTGTGCTATTGAAACATACCCAATGTACAGTGTACTGTAAAATATTTGATTTATATTTTATATTTATAAATTTTATTTATAGTTGGAATTAATCTTCGCTGAAAAGACATTTTCGTTGTTTTGTTTGAAATTTATTTTCACTGATTTTTGAGTTGAGTTGAGTTGGAAAGTAAACTATAGAAAACAATGTCATTTTCATAGGATTTTTTCCACTGACTTGTCTCTTCAGCAATAAATTAGTGAAAATAAAATACTTAACAGCAGTCAGCAACTTAGCTCGCAATGTTAATGTTTTGGTGTCTGAAATATAGCGGTAATGTAGGAAATACACTCGTACCTGTGAGTACATGCGAATAATGATCTATGTCGTTTTCTTTTAATGCACTGTACAGCGTCTGGAGTTCAGTTGAGTTTAAAACTTGACCTTTGCATACATTGTAACCAGTATGGTTTGAAAACTGAACAGAATTGATAGCGTCTACTTCAAAACCAAGTACCTAGAAAAAACAAGGCATTATTTTTATTAACGTTGAAATCTAATCATGAAAAAACAAGCATTGACAAAGCACATCCCCATTTGGTATTACCATTAATCAATCTCAATGTTCATTACAAGTTACACACACGTGAGTAAACATATTTAAGATGTACCCATGCATCCTGTGTATATTAACATTGAACACAATTCCACAGAAACTAGCATGGATACCATAAAAAAACAAGCAGCCTGTCGGCTGAGATAGCTCCGCTGTTAGCAATGCACATGGCAATTAAAGAACAGAAGATATCATTAGAAAATGAACAAATCTGAGAGAGGACCACATGTAGTACCTATATGTATAATATATCAAAGCAATTGGACTTGCGGTTTTCAACAAGAAGTCGAAAATATCACTTTTTACCAAAAATTACAAAAATATTCACCAAAATTAGAGAATTGAAGATATCATCACGAAATGAACAAATCTGAGAGAGGTCCACATGTACCGTAAAATCTGTATTAGAAGCCGCATCCCTAATAAAAGTCGCACCTATTCATTTTGAACAATTGAGAACCAAAAATTCATCATTTCTCATACGTGTAGATGCTTTAATAGAAGCCGCATCCCCTCTGTTGCATTGTACCATTTTAATAGAAGCTGCAGCTTTTAATACAGATTTTACAGTAGTACCTATATATGTAATATCAAAGCAATCGGACTTGCGGTTTTCAACAAGAAGTCGAAAATATCACTTTTTACCAAAAATGACAAAAATATTCACCAAAATTAGAGAATTAAAGATATCATTACAAAATGAACAAATCTGAGAGAGGTCCACATGTAGTACCTATATATGTAATATCAAAGCAATTGGACTTGCGGTTTTTAACAAGAAGTTGAAAATATCACTTTTTACCAAAAATGACAAAAATATTCACCAAAATTAGAGAATTGAAGACATCATCACAAAATGAACAAATCTGAGAGAGGTCCACATGTAGTACCTATATATGTAATATCAAAGCAATCGGACTTGCGGTTTTTAACAAGAAGTCGAAAATATCACTTTTTACCAAAAATTACAAAAATATTCACCAAAATTAGAGAATTGAAGATATCATCACGAAATGAACAAATCTGAGAGAGGTCCACATGTAGTACCTATATATGTAGTATCAAAGCAATTGGA